GAAGGCTGGGCCCTTCTACTTTGGCAGAAGGTACCCGGGACGGTTTCTTCTCTGGGTAAAAAATCCTGACCCACTTTCTCTCTATTTTCATTAAAGGCAAAGGTGCCAACTCTGAAGAGAAGAAGGCAGCGCTGAAAACAGCCTCAGAGTTCATTGACAAGATGGGTTATCCCAAACACACCCAGGTAAGGACCTGTGGCAGCTTTTCTGCCACATGGGCAGGGACTGCGGAGCACGGATGGCTCAGGGCGCGTGTCCCTGTTGAGTGGCTCCTGTTGTGGGAGATCTGCTCTGTTCTGGGAGATTCTGCAGTGCTGCTCCTGGGCTAAAGCAGCATTTACCCCAGCACAGCTGGTAGTTAAAGGTTCTTCCTCTCAGATACTCTTTTACCTTTTCCATGACCTCTTTTAAGAGTGAAGAAGAGCAGATAAACCTGCTGTTCTTAGGGAGACGGTTCTAAAGGCTCATTCCTTTCAGATCCAAGTCCTCCCTGAGAGTGGTGAGACACCTTTGTTCAAACAATTCTTCAAGAACTGGCGGGACAGGGACCAGACAGAAGGGCTGGGGCAGCCTCACGTTTCTGGCCACGTTGCCAAGATTGAGCAGGTCCCTTTCGATGCCGCCACCCTGCATAGCTCCAAGGCCATGGCTGCCCAGCACGGCATGGAGGATGATGGCTCTGGCAAGAAACAGGTCAGTGGTGGCACAATCCCTCTGGGAAGCTTTCCAGACTTTTCTTTGCTACTTGATGGCATTGCTGCAAGAACAGCAAGACAAAAGGAGGCCAGAGAGCCTTCAACACTGAGGTCTTGTAACTACTGGGGGAATTTCTGACACCAGAAATAGCAGCAGGGTCTTGAAAGCCCTGCAGAAAAGTGGGGTTGATTCTGACTCCACGATTTCCCAGCACTGTGGACACGGATTTATTCCTCCTCCTGCTGATAATTCTCCCTGTTGCCATCGCATGTATGAACGTCTTGGAGCACCGGGGTTCATGACTCCGAGCATAGAAGCAGGGGTGGAGTTGGGCTTGAACGGGTGGGGGCTGTCCAGAAGCCCACAGCGGTCCTGGCCGAGGTTTGACTGTTTAAAAACGCCCCGAAAAGCCTCAGAGCTCCGTTCGGGAGCAGCCCCTGGAGCGGATGGGAATTGTCCCGTCAGGTCCCGGCAGAGGGCGCGGCAGCACCGCCGGCTCCGGGGTGCGGAATTCGGGGATAGCGCGGGCCGGCCGTGGGCTCGCTCTGCAGCGCCTCTGCTCCTCTCCCGCCAGATCTGGAGAATAGAAGGCTCCGAGAAGGTGCCCGTGGACCCCGCCACGTACGGGCAGTTCTACGGCGGGGACAGCTACATCATCCTGTACGATTACCAGCACGACGGGAAGCGGGGACAGATCATTTACACCTGGTACGGGACTTACCCTGGGGCAAGTCAGGAAACGCTGGGGCTGCGAGTCCACCCGGAAAATCGATCACTGCTGGTTCCCACTTTCAGAGGATCTTTAGGGGATAAAGTTTCACCCTAGATAACTTTCACTTGCAAACAAAATACCAGAGGTCTGGGATGTTTCATTTGAAGTGGAACAATGGAGGGAATTACTGTGTGAGCTATTTTTTTTTCCCATTTCTGCCCCACTGGTTATTACTCCCTTCTTTGGACCAAGCTCTGCTTTTCTAGGAAAGTGCTGCTTACCTAGGAAAGGTTCTTATCTCCCCCTGTGCTCACTGTGCTACAATAGAGGATAAGGAATTTCTCCTTTGTGTTGAAGGAAGTGCTGCAGAGATTCAGTAACAAAGGGTTTCCTTACCTCCTCTTGATCTCTGTAAGGTGTGTGTGTGGGGGGAAAGGCTGAGAATAAAGCTGGGATTTGGCCTTGTTCTCCAGGCAGGGCGCCGACTCCACGCAGGATGAGATTGCAACCTCTGCATTCCTCACAGTACAGCTGGATGAGGAGCTGGGAGGCAGCCCCGTGCAGGTAAAGAGACCCAGCAGAAACCAACCCAACACTGGGGAATAAAGAATATATATACACACATATATATACATGTATACTAAACACCTGGCCCAGCTGGGAGTTCTGTGAATATTCCAGCTCGACAGAGGGTTGTAAAAGCCATTTCTGGTTAGTCTCGCACTCCTCAAAACTGACAGCAAGTTTCTTTTTCTTCAGAAACGAGTAGTGCAAGGGAAAGAGCCCCCTCACCTGATGAGCATGTTTGGTGGAAAGCCCTTGATTGTTTACAAGGGTGGAACCTCGAGGGAAGGAGGCCAGACTGCACCTGCGGCAACGCGGCTCTTCCAGGTCCGCTCCAGCAGCTCCGGAGCCACCAGAGCAGTGGAGGTACGTGGGGGGGGTCAGCCTCGGTGCTGTGTGCACAGCCCCTGGTGGGAACGTGATCCACTGAAGAGTTCAGTTCCCTCCGTGGAAGAGGAACTTGGGCCAGGACAGACACGTGTTCAGGGTCCCACTGCTCTGAGAGAAAACGCACACAACACCTCTGTGCAACAACAAAGGGGAGAGTAAATCCTGCTGAGGAGAGGGCAGTGGTTTGTGGCTGCAGGAACTCCCCAAATTTCCAGCTTCAAGAGGCCTGTCCTTGTTGACACAGAGGAGTTGGTGTTAATGATTGATCAGTGTTGGCAACGGGGACTGCTCTGCCATGGGCTCCCCAGTGAGCTCCTAAATCTCCTGCCATAACCACCAGGACTGGCACAATGACAGCCAGGCATTCCTGCTACAGGTCCTGTGTACCTGTAATCACACACTGAAACAGTTATTTACTCTTCCCATGTGGAAAATCTAACTCATCACTTGGATACAGGGAATATACAACACATCTGACAGCTTTACATGCTCATATGGAAAATCTTGTTTGCAGTTTATTCAACTGTAGGTTTGATTTTGAAATAACAGGCTCCCTGTAGAGGATGGTTACATCTGACACCTGCAGTGTTCCTTCTTTTCAGCTGGATCCTACAGCCAGTCAGCTGAACTCCAATGATGCCTTTGTCCTGAAAACTCCCTCTGCTGCCTACCTGTGGGTTGGCCAAGGAGCCAGCAACGCTGAGAAATCAGGAGCACAGGAGCTGCTGAAGATACTGGGAGCTCGCCCAGTACAGGTTGCTGAGGGCAAAGAGCCAGGTGAGGGGGTCACAGTGGAGTCTGTGATCATTTCTGTGTAGCTGCACATCCTCAGCACTTATTTCATGGGCATTTTGTCTCCCAGAACAAGATGTGGACATGGGCAAGAAGGGCTTCTCCAGGGTATTTTCATTGTTTAACAGCACTCTCATGTATGTCTGCAGGCCATTGGGCCTTTCTGACCCGGAAGAATGCTTCAAGTCCTGCCCAAACCATAACCCTGGTGTGGGTTCCATGAACAGAAGTATCAGTCTCTCTTTGTTCTCCAGACAATTTCTGGGCAGCCTTGGGTGGCAAAGCTCCGTACCGCACCTCGCCCCGCCTCAAGGACAAGAAGATGGACACTCACCCCCCGCGTCTCTTCGCCTGCTCCAACAAGAGCGGCCGCTTCACCGTGAGTGTCTGGGGGGATTCACTCATCCTCCACCTGACAGGGCTGTGAGATCAGGCCCAGCTGCTCTGAGCCCCCCACCAGCTTACACCTGGTCTTTCTTCGTGTGGTCTGTCCTGTACAGATTAAGTAAATGAAGCCTGTGCTCATCTTAACCCTGTTTTTCAGATTGAAGAAGTTCCTGGAGATCTGACTCAGGATGACCTTGCCACAGATGATGTGATGCTCCTGGACACATGGGATCAGGTATGTCACATTTAGAGGGGGACAAGAGGAGCAAAGAAGAGGCACAGATTGGCTCTAGATTGAGACCTGAACCACAATAGCCAGAGGTGCTGTTGTATTACAGATTCAGCACACATCAGCCACAAGGCAACTCAGAGCTGATGTTTTATAGAAAAATGTTCAAACATCTGCTACTTTCCCTTGATATTAAGCTAGTGTAGAATTTGTTCAAGAGTCTACAACTCACGTAAACAAAATGCAGGGGAAAAAACTTCCCATTATTGACCAATAGAGCCTTGGTCATGTTGGTCAATGACCCAGGCACACCAACATGAGGATTTTCTGGTTTGTGTCACACTCTGTTCACTGAGGCTTCATCTAAATTATCCCTTCATAAAGAGTATGATTGTTGCTGAATTAATTAATATTTTTATCTTTAGGTCTTCGTATGGATTGGGAAAGATGCCCAAGAAGAAGAAAAGACTGAGGCACTGAAGTCTGGTAATGTCACATTTTCCTCTCTGAACTATCCCTTTCTCATTTTCCCACTGTGTGATCATGACTCAGGCAATTCATATTCTGACAGGCATAGATAAAACCATGGGGTACAAACTTTCAGTGGGTATTTTTGTTCAAATGGCCGATGGGAAGCTGCCTCTCTGGCAGCCATTTGGCCCCAGCTGAGCTGCTGCTCTGCAGGCCTGGTGCTCAGTGAGATCCCTCCCTGTGTCCCCAGCCAAGCGCTACATTGACACAGACCCCTCCACGCGGGACAAGAGGACCCCGGTGACCATCGTCAAACAGGGCTTCGAGCCCCCCACCTTCTCCGGCTGGTTCCTGGGCTGGGACGATGACTACTGGGCTGTGGATCCCCTGCAGAGAGCAATGGCAGATGTGGATGTGTGAGCAGTGTTTGAAACAGAGCAAGTTCAGTGCCTTCAACGCCTTCAAGAGCTCCTTCCTCCTGCAGGATGTATGTTAACGAGGGAATGATGTTAATAGCCAATTAGCTGTGCAATAATTTCCGAAAACAATCGTGACCAGTCATTGACCCTACTCCTTGCTTTGATTATATTTAATACAATAAAGCTTGTATGAAATATGGGAAGAACAGAAATGGTGGGGTTTGTTATGAAGAAGAAAACATTAAAGAGCAGCTGTAGATCCCATGTTTGAAAACACCTTAGAAACCAAAACCTTCTTTAAGCCATCTTTTGCACATGGACTTTTTAGTGAAACGTTACAGAAATTATTTTGTGAAGTTTGGGACTGCTTTGCTTTCCCCTCTTCAGAATTGTATGTGTTTGAGACCCTGATAAATAGTATTTTACTCTTTCAGAAACTCACTCATTAGTAAACAGCATTTTTTTAATTCAGGATGAGAGCAAAAAAGCATCTTGTGGAATCAACAGGGATTCACAGGGGTGGCACCTGCAGCAGCAGCGGGAGTTACAGGGTGACTCATCTTCCCCAAGGATTAACCTGGAGCTGTGCTGTTGCTCTGCTTCCCACTCCAAGTGCCTGAGCACAGCAATGCTAATTACTCCAGCTTTGTTAACTGTTTCTCCCGCTCCCAGACAGAAGTTAGGCTCAGCTTACTTCAGCTGCCACCTTGACAAACACAAAGTATATTGCTTTGGTGATGCAGAGGAAAACCTGCCCAGCAGACAGGCAGAAAAACAACAGCACTTGGGCATCTCCTGCCAGTGACAAAGGCACAGTGTGTCGAGGCACAGGTACCCAGGCCTAAAACACCTGTAAATACAGAGCTGATTGGAGCAGAAAGGGCATAAGAAACTGCTTATGGAGTTATGCTGGCCAGTGGGAGAAGGGCACTTACATCAGTGATCCTGGCATTTCAGTTCCATTGCCTCGTCCCAGATTTTAAAGATGTCAGACTCAGTGCTGGTGGCAGCCTGAAGAGTCTTCCCTACGCTGACTTCACTTCTTCTCTTATTAATCCGTTCTACAGGGGTACAAAACAGGAAGTTTAACAGCTTGGGTTATGTGAGCTGAGGCCCAGCTGCTTTGAGGATGAAATGTAAGCCCTTATTGACACAACAACCACTCCAGGTCTGCACAGAGCAGCACCAACAGGTAAAGCACCAGTGCAGCACCTTCTGTTAAACACCACTCCTCCCTGCTGCTAGTTACAGACATGGCATTTCCTAGAGAAATAAGTTTGTAGATCTGGATAAAATGCAGCACTTTGGTTTTTAAAAAATATTTTTAGGAGAAACAGATGCAGAGCCTTTTTCAGTGCTTTAAAGCAGTGCAACTCTATGCAGACACAGCCTCATAACAACAGCAGCCCATCAGCGACCACAAGCACGTTGTATCCAGAACTACGGCATGTTTGTGCCATTCCTGCGTGGCAGCAAGACAGAAAGTTTCACTAACAACTGTTTCTCATCAATGGGGACTGGTTTAGAGAACAGGAGCCTGATTTTCAGGAGCCCCCCAGGACACTATTCCACTTCCCTTGCAGGGCTACAGACCCATTTTGTAGAAGGAATAATTCCAAATGTTGGATCACCTCTACCACAACTGGTTTTGTATTCTATTTGAAAAGGAGATTTTGGATTAGAGGTGTTCCATCCAGGACAATATGGATAAAGCTTATTTAAGATCACAACCTGCTTGTACTCCTTCTGAGAGGCTTTCAACTTCCAAATATTGCGATTGTCCACATTCACAAACATTACATACAAGTTCTATAACACACTCAGTAAAACAAAAAGGTTCCTCAGCAAACCCACTTTGCTAACACTGCCACAAGCTACAATAGACAGGGAATTCAGTGCTGCAAACATGGGCTGACCCCGAGCTCGCCCCTCCCAGCCTCCCTACTCCGTCACACCTAGGAGGCCCTGCAGGATGTTTATGGGCAGGGGGAAGACGATGGTGGAATTCTTCTCGGCAGCGATGGTGGTCAGGGTCTGCAGGTACCGGAGCTGGAGAGCAGCAGGAGACTCCGTGATCACCATGGACGCCTCCTTCAGGGCCCTGGACGCGTTCATCTCGCCCTCGGCCGCGATCACCTGGGGAGGCAAACGGCTCAGACTGAACTCAATCCTCAAACTGAACTCAAAACAGGAGGAACAGGGAATCCACAGGCTGATCTCAGCCCCAGGCAGGTACCCCTGCCCAGCACCCTGCTAAGTGACCTGCCCTGGGCACGTGCTTTCATCAGGCACCAGCTGCTCCTGTTTGGTCTCCAGGCCCCGGTGCCTGGTATCCTCCCATCCAGAATGCAGGATGACAAAAGCTGCCATCAGGTCTTGAGAATGCAATGTAAGTATTTATTCTATCTTCAAAAGCTTTTGTGCTTCTTCCAGCACTGCCTCTCAAAACCAGAGGCACTCCCCACAGATAGCTGAAAATACTTTCTCCCTCAAGCTGTACTTTTTTGTATCTACAAGGGCTTGAGAGGGAATGGTGTATTTCTTACTTGGGAAAAACTAAATCCAGCCCCCGGGCTGATGTCATTACCTTGGCTCTCGCCTCCCGGGCAGCCTCTGCTTCTGCAGCCATGGCTCTCTGCAGCTGGACAGGTAACTTCACATCCTTGATCTCCACACGTTCCACCTTAATGCCCCAATCGTCTGTTGCCTCATCAAGTGTAATCTACAGAAGGCAGGACAGATAAGTGAAGCCACACACCTGCCTCAAACTAATGCCTAAATTTGAAGAACGACCAATAAACCAACTTAATTCTCTTCAAATTCTCACACCTTCAGGGCTTTAGTATTTGTATGATTTGACAGATATAAGAGCACAACTGTTTTAAAGTAACAAAAACCCCCAGAGCTTGATTAATGTATTGAAGGAATTCTGTGGCACAGAATCCTTCCACATGAAGGACTGACACAAGGATCCAGGGAAGCCATCCTCTCCTGTATCCCTCATTCCCATGTGCTAGCCTCCCACTGGCCCTTAGTGCTTTAGTGCCTCATTCTTATTTTACAGAGTGCCCTCCCAAGAGATCTTGTCAGGGCTTTGCCTACAGCTCCAAATCACAACTGATCACTTAGAGATAAAATAAATCCCCACCTTTAAGTTATCCATGGGGCTGCTGCTTTACCTGCTGTTTGATGGATTGCTTCAAGATACTCATACCTGCATGCTGTGGGCAATTTCCTCACGGTCAGAGAGGATCTCAGAGAGGCTTTTGGTGCCCAGGACGTTCCTCAGGGTGGTCTGTGCCAGGAGCCGGGTGGCTGAGTCGGCGTTGGTGATGTTTGCCACGGCCAGGGTGGCATTCTGCACCCTGTAATAAACCACTCCATCCACGTTAACTGTCACCGAGTCTTTGGTCAGGATCTGAAAAGCAGGGAAAGTACAGAATATTCCATAAATACAAGGTTAATTATTAGGACAATCACATACTTGTTTTACTACACCAAGTCCTGGTTTCCCACTGTCTTGATCCTTATACACATGCTGCATGTGAACGTGCCCCAGTGTTCACAAACCCCCCAGTACAGCTCTGCAAAGCTGAGACTAAATATGGGATTAGAAACTTCTCTGTGAAAAGCACATTCCATTCACTTTGCCCTAATGTTATTTTTAACCCACTTCCTCGAATTCACAGATGGATCTGCAAGTCATGTCAGAAACAGGAAAAAGAGAAAAGGCAGAAATTATTTACTCTGAAATTCATCATCTGAGAAGACTCAACCAGTGATTCTGGCAAGGAATCACACCCAGGCAGGTCCCCCGTGCTGCCTTTCAGTGAGGTTTCCCCAGGGCTGTGTGAGGCAGCCTGTCAGCAGGGCCGTGGGGACTGTGCTGCAGAACTGCAGCCTCCTGGGGCAGGAGGGTGGCACTGCACAGGGGAGCTCAGAGAACCGAGAACCTCCTTCCATGGCACACAATTCCCTTCAAGATTTACCTGCCCTGTCTCTTCCCAAACTACCTCTTTTAGCAGGCTTTTCATAACACAAAAGCTAAAGAATGAGTGGCATGCACAGAAATCATGTTGAACAAATAAAAATTGATTTCTGCCTCTATGTAAGGAACACAAACAAACCTAAATCCATAAGCGTAATTTAATCAAGTCAAAAGAAAAACTGGATTACTGATGGCCTCACTAATGGTACATCAGCAGCTGCAAGCACATTCTGCCTGCCAGTGATTAGGTTTCTCCCAATTACCCTTTAGAGTGTACCAGGACAGCTGCCATTTGTCTCAATCTACAACTAACCATGAGCAACAAACCCATGAGCAGATCTGATAGGAAACAGATGCACCACACAGGTTGCACGGAGCATCTCTGTGTCTCAAAATGCACCTGATACATGAGTGATACAGTTATAACCATCAGGATACAATTGTTCACTAGCTTATTTTTAGAGGGATGGTTGGGGTTTATTCTTTTGTTATCCATCAGGTTGGCAGCACTGAGTTCAGCTGGCTTAATGCTCTGGAGACATTCTGCTACAAAGTTAGGATGTCCAAGGAAAATCAGACCAGAAATCAAAGTAATTTTTTTGTTCTTTAGGACCTGCCATGAGCAGCAGCACCTTCCCCATGTTCCTGTGCAGGGCAGGGCACAGGAGCCACGTGCACACAAACCCAGTGAGGGGAGCTGACCACTCATTCCCCCAGTTGCTATGAACAGCATTTGATGTATGTTCCAATTTCATCCCATCACTTGAGCCAGTTTATAAACGTAGATAAATTGGCACAGGACAGATCCCTGCTGCGCCTGGAAACCTTCCAGATTTCACAGAAGCAATTAGGGAAAGTTGTATGAAGCCCAGCAGTCTTCATTCCAAACCCCTCCCATTCCAGCTCTCAGGCAGTATTCAATTATCTCATTTGGTCCTCAGAGCATCATCTGTTTTCTTTCAGTGCTCTTCCCTTACTGGATGACATTTCTAAGGGATAGATGTATTCTTCACAATACATTGCACCTGCACAAGCAATCTGTATTCAAACTGTGCATTACCCAATACTGAGAGGGGATACAGAAAAGCAAAGTGCACAAAATTCTGCAAGGACTTTAGTAGATGCAAAGGCAAATGCAAACTCACCTCCTGAGGAGGGATATCAAAAGAGATGGTTCTCATATCAACTTTGATGAAGCTGTCTGTGCAAGGCAGGACAAAAAACAAACCTGTGCCAAAAAATCCATTCAAGAAGATGTGAAAATAGGTCATTAGAGCAGACAGAACTTGTTACTGCAATAAGGTGAAATCCAACTGTTGTGGCTGTGCAGCTCTTTGTGAGGAGCTCAGCAGCACAACACTTGTTAGTGGCTTCCAAACCAAGGTAAGATTTTCAAAAATGCATGCTGAGAAACTTCAATTATCTGGGTATCACTTACTTAGAGATTTTTAACATTTGGAAATAAAACAGTCCCAAAACTATTAACTACTTTTCAAAATGTTCCCCACAGAGTTATTTGTGGGGCCTAATTCTGGCAAGCATCAATCTCCTGCCTTCTGTTCGGGTGGCTCACTGAGATTCTTCAGCTTTCCAGCAATGTGGAACATTGCAAAGCCTGGGTGAAAATGAAGGAAGAAGCCATTGCCCCTTTCTGTCACTTTGAGCAGCAGGAGCAACAGCTGAAAATAACATTCTTCCAGATCTCAGTTTCCAATATACAACTTTGTTCAAAACTATCAAATACTCTAGTGGCTTCTGTTACTTTTGAAGGATATCAAGGCTTTCAGACTCATTGGGTTTAACTGGTACATCAAACTTCTTTTTTCAAAGAACCCATTTGATGCCATTATTCCTCCCTTTACATTTTGATTCTGCCTGCAGATCATACATTAACAAAGGAGAGCTGGGTGGAATTAAGTTTGCTGTCTTCTCAATCCAGAGTACAAATCAGAACTTTATGAGCTGGAAGAGACCCACGAGGCTCATAAATTCCTGTTGTAACACATCCTCTTACTGGAAGTTACAGAATTCTTGAGAAATCCATTTGCCACTTTCCTACAATGTCTCTAAAGCATTATTGTTTTGCTGATGACTAATTGGCACAAATTGCTGTCCAGGACATACCTGGTCCCTTTGCTCCCCCTTTTAGGATGCGCCCAAGTCGGAAGATGATGGCTCGCTCGTACTCCTTGATAATCTGGAACAGATGGTTGGATGTCATGCACAGGTTTCCAGAAGATGGATTCCAAATTATGAACACACCAGCCTAGGACAGTCTTGAGTCTCAGGTTTAATACACATTTCTCTACTGGCTGCTTGGGAGAATTTTAGCTAAAACTTTATTGTCAAAAAGCAAAGAGCAAAAGGAAAAAGTCAGGACAATACTCCACAGGAAATATTCCTCAGACTCTCAACAGGATGGCACCTGGGCAGGTTCAGGCACCAGCAGCAGCCATCAGGAATATCCTGGCAACAACACAACAAAGTGCAGCATTTGTGACCCAGCAGGGATTTTTCCAGCTCCAATTCAGATGCCACATCAGCCAAGCCAGGAGGAAATAACTCCTCCTGTCTGGAAACTGCAAACATCAAGCTCAGAGTGATCACAGACAACACTGTGTCTTCAAATATGTCACATGCAGCCACATCTATGTACATAATTACAGATTTCTATTTACATACTTCATATTTCGATGAGTGATATATAGAGAGAGATCTTAAAAAATATAAAATATCAGTTCTTTAAGAGTAGTTATGGGTTCTTGCAATTATTCTGATCCTTCAAATGAACTTATTTACTAATGACAGTTGGGCAGATGTAGTGAAGACAGCAATGCAGGAATTATTTTGACCAAATATTGTAATACCACTTTTATTTTTGGTTTAAAGATGAATGCAGTGCTGGGGTCTGCTATAGCTCAAGAAAGAACAGAATTAGATTAATTTGTGTTTATTTTCTCAATAAATCCAATGAAAACAGTAATAACCACTCTGCATTGCTGGAAGTTTTAATCCAATTTAGCAGTGAACGATTTTACCTTTATGCACATCCATAGTGATATAGGAAATGTAAGAACAGTGAAAAGAAGCGAGGTGATCACCAGGATCCATCCACACACACCGAGGCCAGAATCCTCATCATCTACAAAAGAGCAGAAATTGTCACTTTTTTAAACCAAAAGTGCCTATTAAAGTGCCTAAATTGGATATTTATATTGAATGTTCCTTGAAATAAGTCACTGTTAGCACTACTCCTCTGGTCAAATGCATTAGGTTTAGATCAGAAATCAAATTAAAAGCCAACTTCTGCTTTGATTTTCATTGGTCTCTAAGTTGTGCAAGACAGCTGAGGGCAGAATGCTGTCCAAGTAGCATTTATGCAGAAGTGTACCACATTGAAGTTTCAATTCCCAAATGCCTTTCTCTCCCCCAAGTTCTTCTAGCAGAGTGACTCACAGGCAGCAGTGGAAATCGTGTTCCTTTGTTTTCTGACAAGTCAGAGGGACCTCATGTAAGGAGTAGCACACAGATACCCCCCAGGCTGCCAGCTCTGGGACAGCATCGCTGCAACGTGGGTTCTGTTCCAGCTGCAACGGGTGCAGATCGAAGGAAACCACAATTCTCAGACCCGTTGGATCTGGGAAGTTGGATAAGATGAGGTACAAGATTAGCTGGACGTGAAATAAAGTCTCCATAAAGAATTCCTTGGCCAGAAACTCCTCACGCTTTATTCCTCTGTCAATGGAAGACACCAGCTGAAGGTAACTCTGGGATCAAATAACGAGCTGGTGGTTTCAAAAACTACCCAGCTAAAGCCATGACAAACTGTGGCCTGGGAGGCATTCCCAGAGCTACAGGAAGTTTCTTATCCTGCCAGCTAAGACTCCTAAGGGGCTGCCAGGAGCCTGCTGCCAAGCAGGGATGTCCCAGGGTGACACCCAGCACTCACAAACATCACCTTCCTACTCTGGAGATTCGGAAGTTCATGTAAAAGTCACCTCAAATGATGCCAAATTTCAAGACTGAGCAAAGAGGATGCTTTATTTAGCACCAATGTGTTGTTTTTTACAATACAAGAAGGGAGAGAGATGCTGTCTTGTGGAAAACTCTATGAGACATAAGAAACATGCCTGGCATTTGTGGGATGAGCTAGTTCTGCAGCTCCTGGAGGTGATCCCCATCCCTGCCCACCCCACAGGCTGAAAACAAAGGCTTGACCCTGCACTAAGTGCTGGCTGACAGTATCCCCAAACCTGCCACTGGAATATTCTCTGCAAATATTCTTGAGCAACCTCTTTAGGAAATAAACCACACGGAGAAAGACTATTAAAAAAATAAAAAAAAAACAACTTAATTGAATCAGCCTTCAGTGCCTTTAAGGCTGACTGGAACAGTTGTCATTACTTTAGCAAGAAATTATCACTTGGACCATCAAACTGTATTAAGAATTTATAATACACACTTAGTGCTGGAGGCTAAGATGGAAGGGGAAAGGTCTCGTTACAGCTTGAGGTGTGGCACATGGTTAATTTGTGATTTATTTCCTTCTGCAAAGTGTCTACAATCCAAACAAGCACACCACTGTCAAACAGCAAAAATGTACCCCGACTGAAAACAAAATGCCAACTCCAAAGTGAATTACGTGTCTTCACAGATGCTTCACAGATCATTTCACATGGGAAATACCCAAAATTTCGACATCCAATAACCAAAACTACGTCTAATGCCACTGACTCCATATTTTATTGTGATCACATGAGAGCTGCAGGAGAAACCACCTCAGCAGTGTGTTCAGGAAAGGCTTGCACAGACCAGATTGGCACCGACGTGACCATGGCGAGGTATTAATAACTAACATAGTTACACATGGAATGCTGATCCTCCCCAAAGATACCAGAGCCAGGATGTGCCATTGGGCACCAGGCCCAAGGAGATCCACAGTTATTTATACAACAACTCAAATTACCCAGCCAAAGGCTTCGTGCACAAAGCTTTCTTATAAATACATTTCCTTCTCTGGTTGCAAACGAGAAAAGCATAAAATAAATCAGGATTTTTCCGTTTCCTGCTTCTGAATAATGGAAGTAACAGGAAAACATTCCAGCTTCCAGTGAAACTGCCAGTTGTGCTATCTCAGTGCATCATCTCCAAAATGTCCTGACCCACATCACACACCTCCTACCTGGAAGGCCAAAACCCACATCATTAACGATACCAAGAAGTAAAAATTCAGTACAACTCATTGCCCCATCTGAGAACATCTACCGCTTCGTCCAGTCACACCTAGACAGGGTTTGGCTGCAGTAAAAAGCCACAGTAGTGTCAAAAAACAACCCCTAAGTTCTCCTAGCTCTTGTTTACTGGTGCAGCATCGCAGAGATTACTTCTGTTGACTCTGCTTGTCTTCATTTCCGTAGTTTTCCCCTTACTGATCCGAGTTACTGCACAGGAAAGGAACCCACGCACCACAGAAACCCACCGGACTTACGCCACCGGGGCAGCTCGTGGTGATGCTCCGACACATTCCCGAGGGCGGTGTGAGAACCGGCCGGGAATCACCACCTGCGGCCACGGTACCCGAAGGGGCAGCGGGGCCAGCCCCCGTCAGCCGGTGCTGGGGGCTCAACACCCCCAGTTAGACGGGGCTGGGGGGGTCAGCATCCCCCGTTAACCGGTGCTGAGAGCTCAGCATCCCCCCGTTAGCCGGTGCTGGGGGCTCAGCATACCCCGTTAGCTGGTGCTGGGGGCTCAACATCCCCAGTTAGACGGGGCTGGGGGGGTCAGCATCCCCCGTTAACTGGTGCTGAGAGCTCAGCATCTCCCGTTAACCGGGGCTCAGCAGTCCCCGTTATCCGAGGCTGGGGGCTCAGCATCCCCCCGTTAACCGGTGCTGGGAGCTCAGCATCTCCCGTTAACCGGGGCTCAGCAGTCCCCGTTATCCGAGGCTGGGGGCTCAGCATCCCCATTAGCCGGGGCTGGGGGCTCAGCCTGCCCTGTTAGCCGGGTCAGCGGACTCAGCAGCCGCCTCAGCCGGGGCTGGGGTCGCTCCGGTGCCGCCGGTGACCCCTGTGCAGCCGGGCTCAGGGAAACGGAGGCTGCCCGGGAAGCGGAGCACAACCGCTCCTCGTTCCTCTCGCGGGCTTAACTTCAGTAAAGCATCCTCAAACTTTCCTCCGTGACTAAATGAAGCAATAATTAAAACCGAAACAAAAAAAAGAGGAGAGAGAGAGAGAGACACGAAGACGCCCCGCGAGGAGCGGCCGCTGCGGGGCCGTTTGGGGACAGCCCCTGCCCGCTCCCGCTGCGTCCGTTACCTGGAGGCCGCCGGCTCTTGGCCGGGTACCCCGCTTCGTGGTCTGCCATGGTTCCCGAGTGCCCTCAGAGCCGCCTCGGAGTCAGTCCCGCGTCCCCTCCGAGCCGCCTCTGCGCTGTCCCGCCGCCGCCGCCACCGCCGCCGCCACCGCCGTCACCGCCGTCAGAGCCGCCCCGTCGCGGCTCCCTCAGCGCCGCCTCAGCGCAGCCCCCGCGCGCCCGCCCCGCCCCGCCCCGTCCGCGCGCTCCGGGTGCTGCCGCGCGCTCCCGCCCCCGCCGCCAGGGGGAGCCACCACCGCTGAGGGCGTGAGGGAGCGGCCATGGAGCGGCCGTGGAGGGACCATGGAGGGACCATGGAAGGACCATGGAGCGACCCCTGCCCGCCGCGCCCGGCCCGGGGCAGCGGAGGGGAAGCGGCTGGAGGGCGGCCCAGGGCTGCAGGCAGGGCAGGGAAGGCAAGGCAGGGAGGACAGGAGGGGAAGGCACGGAGTGAGCGACCGGCGCGGCGGGCAGCCATCGCCTGAGGTGAGTGAGCCCCGCGCATCCCGTCCTGAGGGGAGCAGCGAGGAAAGTTCCAGCTGCCCCGGCCGTGTGTGTCGTTCGGTGTTCTGTGGGGTTTTATTGCTTTTTTACCCCATCCCCAAGCTCTCTCACGTGGAGAGTTGGGATCTTTCATCCCTTTTGGAAGAGGCCACATTAACGATTTCTGCTGCTTTCCAAGGTCCCCCCACAGAGACAAAGTCTGTGCAAAAGTACATCATACACACACAGGTATTTCATACCAGATTGTTAAATTTGACAAGAGTTCCAAAGTTGAATTCAATATTAGTGTGAGTTATGAAGTCCATAAGTAATTCCTGGCTATTCTTTAACCTTTATTTCTCTATGGGATATTGGTAATTAGTGGGCACGTGCAAACGTGCATCTATCACATTACACTGAGTACTGAGAGAATGCAATTGCTTCTTCTTTGAAAAACACATTGCAGTCCATGAACAAAAATGGTATTAGACTACTAAAACAGATTTCTTTTCAGCATTGATGTTATTCTGTGTTAAACTCTTCCTTGGAAGATCCTAAATGGACAGCCTGAATCTTGCTGTCCATTACGTTCCAGAGGAGCAAAGGTTTTGGTTTGGTAGCACAGTTGGTTGAGGCAGAGGTAGGAGTGGAGCTGAATGCCAAATGTACAGTCTTGAACACTTCCTACTGCTGCTGTGAGCTCCTCCTGCCACACTTGTGCCAGCTGATTTCAGTCTGATCCAGATGAGCAGTACATGAAACTAAAGACTAAATCTGTCTCGAGAGCCCCGAGTGACCTTTTGAAAGTCCTTCTCTCCATTATCTTTACTCATATGTTTGCTATTAATACATTTACCAGTGCTGACACCTGCTGTTCTCACATTAGTAACTCCACAACCTTTTTGTCCTATTGTCTACAACTTTGTGAGTTTACCCATGCTCTGTACGTAACACATGGGGCTAATTTTTCACACGGGTGAAAGGAAGGGAGAACCTGTTAGCTAAATGAGAGCTGATAAATAATCATTCTGTGCTCAAGTTGTCACCTGCACGCAGCCGGCAAATGCCACGAAGAAACTTACAATGCAATGTGATATTTGACCATGGGTTGTAAATATCACAATGCTGTAATTGAATGAGAATCCGTGAGATTCCATGGGCTGGTTGACCTTAGGATCCCCTGGCGAATAGGCTGGTTTAGAGTGCACCAGCATCGATAAGGAAAGAAGGATGTGCTGGAAATGGGAGGGACAGGCTCTGTGGGAAGAGCAGATGAGCTGTGAGGAGCCCCTGTCCTTCACAGCAAATTTGCCACTAGAAAAGTCTGAGCTTAGTAAGATAATGGTTCTATGATTCTATAGGTGCTTTGAAAACTTACACAAATTGCTCAGTAAGAGATGTACAGCATGGGTTTACCTTGTTTCAGCAAGGAAGAGGAAGCACCTATTCATTTCCCCACTGTAAAGTAAAAAATAAACAATTAAGACCTTTCTCCTCCATAAGCTGGGAATCCTGATTCAGCAATACCTCAGCAGCACGCTGTGTAGTGAAGTAAAAATTTATGTTGGCTTTTTGCTTGAAGGAGAGGAAGCTCCTCTCTAATTTTAGATGGGCCTGCATGCCATTAATTTTATTCTTGGGCTGTTTGCCAGGGAAGTTGGACAAGCCCCTGGGTGGGGCGGGCAGGGACACTGCTGTCCTGTGGGGCGTTGCTGCCATCTGCTGCCATCGGGGTGCTCTTCCACGGGCATTTCTAGGACACTGACCAGCAGCAGACCCTTCCCCTCTTTCTTCCCTTTCCCTCTCCTCTCCTTCTTTGCTAAATAATAACATGGGAATATCTTCTCTCCTAATTTTCGATTCAATAACTAAAGAAAATTAAGAACTTGATTTCTGTCTGCCTAGAAGAAAAGAGTGGACTTGCAAATTGATTTATTAATCTCTCAGTCTTATGAAGAGGAACATTTCATTGGATTTTGACTTTATTATTTCCATAAGTCAGCGTCATTTCAAAGGTGAGAGTTCTGGCAGCAGGAACTCCTTGTAGTGCTCTGTAGCAAAGTCTGATTTATTTAACCATCCCTTGAATTCCAGTGTGTCCGTGAGGAGTTAATTAGAGTCCTCACCAGACACAAATCAGGTGTGTTGAGGTGTATCAGAGACACCGAAGGCAGTACTCCTCCCTCGGGATATTTCCTCACCAGATGTGCTTTCGCTGTGGGATTTTTCTGTAGTGTACCAAGCTGCCGTTAGATGTCAGCAGGGCACTGAGCACAGCCTCTGCTTCAGGCTCGTATTGAGTGCATGAATTTTTGTCACCTCTGTGGTTTTCTTAAACACAGTTAAATAAATTGTAGTCCCCAAGGATTATGGAATAATACCAAAGGCTATTCCCGAAACTGTTGTTGATTCTTACCTTAAAAAGTAGCTGGATGTAGAATATTCTGTTTCAGGTTTATATTTGGAGCTGGCTTATGACACTAAATTTTATGTGAAACCTCAATTTTACTCATGCTCTTCTAAACACATGAAGTGCTGTGTGCTGTGAGCTTCCCACAGGGATTAGCTGTGGCAGTCTGGTAGTGAGGTGTGCTGGTGTCCCTTATTTTGGTGTGCTTTTCCCAGTTTACATTTTCAGCAACTCTTACAGTTGTTTTCCAGTGCTGTTTGCCATTCCGAGTTTTGAAGGGTGCATTTAAGTATGTCAGGACATCTACTGGGTTCCTGTACCTATGTGTTTAAATATTGTTTTTAATTTTTAATTCTCTGGAGAGCTTTTTCACTTCCCTTATACATTTCCAGTAGGTCTGTTCTCCATATATTTTGGCTTTAATGTTAAAAGTGCTGCTTTGAATCATTTTCCCCTAAAACATCTAAAAGTAATCAAACCCAGAATTGCAAGTTCCACAAACATTTCCCACGCTATAAGAGCCTGCATTTCATTTAGTTGCCTATTTTTATATCATGGGACTATTTGTTTTCAGTGGAAATAGAGTACATATATGTTGGATGATAATCCCAAAATAGGAATGTCCTAAAATCAGGTTTCTTTAAACAGTAATTTCTCCCACATTAAAAGTTTCATAGTTTAAAATAGCTTTGAGTCTGGGAGGTTCATTATATTTATGTTGTTTACACTTAGAGAATACAAATGAGAGATCATTCAGAGCAAAGCTGCTCCTGAGGGAATCCCGAGGTTTGGGGCTGCTGTACATGGATTTAGCAGCAGAAAGCAGGGGTCACAGCAATCTGCCTCCCCCGTGGGGTGCTGAGCTGTGAAACAAATCATTGTGCAAAATAATATCTTCTTCCTGACTTAGGATACTTTCATTATTACTAACATCAGGAAAATCTGGTCAAACTGCCAAATCTGCCAAACTATCTGTGAGTACTACAAGTATTTTAGAAATCTAGGAAATTGTACACAACTAACTCCTTTGAATTCTCCTATGCATCCTGTTAAGGGACATTCAGGTCCACAAATACAAATCAAAGTCAAATTAAACTGTCCTTACTCATGGTATTTACTGGCAGAGAATATTTTGGAGATCATTTTTGTTTTCTGAAGTGTTTCTTACCGTTCAGCAAGGCAGAAGACTGAGTTTTCAAGACTTCCAGCAGTCTAAGAGCTCCTCCAGCCAGTTTGGGGGAGGAAAAAAGAACAGAAGGGGATGTAGCAGCTGTAAATTTCCAAATTTCCCAGAGCTCTCCAGTCAGTTTCTCTAAGGAGAAAGCTTCCTCCTATTTCCTATGCCGGCCGTGTGCACAGAGCCTTTACTTGTCATTGCTGGGCTTACCCAGGATCCATCTGGGCAGCCAAAGCTCTTTTTGATTTTTCAATATAATGATTTCTTTACTTCTGTAGGTTTGGCAAAAGAGAAAATTTGTGTCTGACAAAACAGAGAAAGCCTGAGGTAACACACACAAACCAAGCAAACGTGCTAGAGCAAGTCAAAGTCATCAAGGTGCCTCAAAGCAGCAGTGGAATGTCACTTTGCTGCTCCAGAAACCCAGGCTCCGAAGGAATCCTCCTGCATAAGTCACTGAAATTACAAGTTTGTCTCACACTCAGATAGCCTAGGGGGGGTTAGCACTTGTAACTGCTCCATCCCTGGAATTAAGGAGCAGAGCTGCATTCCAGAACACCGGCATGCTTGAAAGATTTTGTTGCAGAATAAGAGATTATGTTACTGTAAAAACAAGATACTGAAGGGCTGTACATTTCACCCTGTGTATTTAATAGCTCTGTATTTTAAACCAGAATAACTGTATGAGACACTGAAAGCAGTTCTGGACAAACAATACAGCCTAAATCTGATGATAAAAGTAACAAAGCTCTGGGGACTTTGTAATAAAAACGTATTTTATTGCAAATACACTTCTGGCAGCAGTGATTAAACTGTACTGGATGCAGAAAAAGAACTAAAGGAAATGTTAAGAAAATGAAGACAAACATTTGTTTTCACTTTTACTGACAACAAAATTGGCTCTGAGCTGGGGGTCAGTGGCAGTAGACTCTGGTGAGTCATATATTTGTGCCAGAATATTCCTGAAATGACCCAGTCCCGTGTTCATCATTTGCATGACATTATTTTTCCCATTTTCAGGGTTCCTGTGGG